ATATATATATATATATATATATATATTAGAGTATATATCAAGGGCTATTCTAGGAAAAATAATTTGGGTGGCAGTACCCATACCGGCACCATAAGGATATTGGCTGTATATAGCCATTTTCGTGAAGAAAACAATATTTGCCATTAAAAAAAACGAGTTTTAGACAGCATGAACTGTATACAGTGCCCAAATACAGTTCATGCTGTCGAAAACGGTCTAGAATAGCCCCAGTATATATACATATATATATATATATATATATATATATATATATATATATATATATATATATATATATATATATATATATATATATATATATATATATATTATAGTTAAAAGTATATATATATAAATATATATATATATATTTTATATTAATTCTTGACATGATTAATGATTATGGCTCATGCATATATTCAAAAAAACTTTGAGAATTGTGTATATATGTTTTGAAAGTTCTATCATCTCTTTGTAGTAGCAAACGCACTTTTGAATTGCCATTGTTACAAATGTGTTTACATTTTAATATTTTGAATAGAAAACTAAGTTAAAATTTATTAATTATTAATTATAAACAAGGATGAGATAAAGGATAATAAGTTGCTTAGAAATATTATAATTGTTAAAAAAAACATTTTAGAATGATATTTAGCATTTTTTTTTCAAATATCATATTTAAAGTTAAATAAATACCTTTTCCTGTTCCTGTTGGGTCCCCGCCTTGAACCTAGAATTTAAAAAAACACTTAACTTTAGAAAAAAAATCTAAACTTAAATATAAAATAAACTATTTACAATCAAATTAAAAATTAAACGCTAAACAACTATAATTTAGTCAAGCAATGACCAAAATCTAAAAAAAAAAATTAAACTTACCATGAAATGTTTAATTAAACGATGAAAAACTGAGAAAAAAAAAAAAAAAAAAAACTATAAAATAATTAAAAACAAAACTGGAAAATATTAATAAAAATATTTATATGTTTATAATGTTCAGTATTAAACTAAGATACAACCCACTTGTATTGCTATAGTAACCATTATTGCAATGCGTGATAAAGTTCTCACATGTCTTTTGTACCTAAATTTTGGAAATAAGGACATAAGAAATAAAGTAATGAAATCAAATAGGTAAAACAAGTAAGGCAAACCATTTCACAATGAAGTTCCAAATTGATATTCCCCAGATTTGTTGTCATTCGAACATAACCTATAGAAATTATAAAATTTACATTGGCAATAAAATTTATTTCAAATAATTGAGTTGTTTCAGACAACTGTCTAAAGTCAATAATTAATTTGATTAACTTGTTTAGACTAATGACTTTGTTGATGATAAAGTAATAATTAGCTTGGGTCATCATCAACATTAGTTTTTATTAGCTTGGTTGAAATCATATAGTTCTCTATGTAAAAAAATAACTTTGGATCTAAAAGGTATTGTTCACTGGTTAAATGAATGCTAACTTAATATGTCTTAACAAAAAAAAATCTGAACTGATCTTTTTTTCATTTTCTAGAAAAAAATACAATCTAAACAAAAATTCCAAAATCCAAATTAATAAAATCAAATTAATAATAAACAGTTATATCCTACAAAAGTTATCAAATAGCTTGGTGTTTTGATTGACTGCAGTCTCTCATGGAATTTTCATATCGATGAGCTACGCAAAAAACTAACTCAAGTTAACAGCGCACTTTCAATAATTTGTCATTATGTCAATAAATTCACACTAAAGAATATTTACTGTGCATTATTTTTATCGCATCTTAGATACTGTTGCCAAATTTGGGGCAATTATCACATCAAAATAATTTATGTCCTCTCAACGCCAATCCATAAGAATCATAAACTTCCAACCTTTCAAGTCAGAAACATCAGAATCTTTCATAAAACTGAAAATTCCAACCTTTTTCAGCGCTTGTAAAATTTGTCTAATATTGTCTTTGTTTTTGACTCTCTTAATCAAAATTTATCCTCTTCTATAACAGACTTTTTTACAAAAAGTAGAATAATAAAATTTTTTACAGAATGTAGAATAATAAATAAAAAAAGTAGAATAATAATAAAAGTAGAATATACTCTACTAGAAATATATATAATAGGAAACTTAATGTACCATCGTTTAAAACTCAGAAGTATGGTAAACATTCTGTTGTCTATCAGTGCATTTGTGAATGGAACAAGAGTTTTGTATGCATAGTGAATGAGTTCAAAAAACTACAACTTCAAACACTTTTATCATTTCTTAATCTTACACAAAACTGATTTTAAAAAATTCTGAAAACAAATTTGTTTTAACTTATTGATATGATTTTTACTTAATTTTTAAAATATACTCTTATTTTTTTAAATTATGATTACTACAACTATTATCATAAAATTCTTTTTTTGTTTATTTTTTATTATCATCAAAGTATGGTTTTTTAAAACTTTACTTGTTTATGTGTGTTCTATGTGTGTATACTTATTATTAATCGTGTTATATTTAAAAACTGGTGTCACTCCTTTGATCAGAATTCTGTTTGAGTGACAGCATCCTTATCAATCATTTAGTTATTATTATTATATTCTTATAATTAATTTACTCATTATTATATTAATCTATATTATTATTATTTTATATATATATATATATATATATATATATATATATATATATATATATATATATATATATATATATAATAAATTATTTTTACTAACAATAATCAATAGAATTAATAATTTTTTTTTTTTCAAATTATTGTTAATTATATTTAATATTATTATAATATTATTGTATGATTTGAAAAGGAGAAAAAAATATCTTGTTGTTGTTGCTGTTGTTGGTTTATCATCAACATAATCATTAGTTTTTATTAGCTTGGCTCATCATCAACATAATCATTAGTTTAAACACTTTTTTGAGCCTATGATTAAGTTAGTTGAGGCCACATGTCTTATTCAACTTCTTCAGTTTATAACAAATACTTTTTAAATTTATATAGAAACAAGTTGAGGGCAATACTAACAGGACTAACAATTAAACTTAAAAAACCATATACCTTTTTTGCCCAACTTTTTAACTAGCTCATAGCGTACAACATCTTCATGCAGAGCAGCTGATTATTTAAAACAAAAAGTTTTTCAATATAGATAAATAACTTTTTAATATAATTTTTTTTAATCTTTATTAAATAGGAAACAAACCTGCTTGTTGTGTATTGGAGCGGTCTTGGGAAGTTGAAGTAAAAGATGCTGACATTGCTCCTGTTGAATAGTGAGCCTGGTGAAGTAAACAGATAATGTACTTCAAAAAAAAAAAGCATTTCAAGGTCAAAAACAATAGTTAAAAAAAAGGTTCTAAAAATACATGCTTACCAAATACTTTGGCTTTTTCAAATTTTCTTCTTGTTTATTAGACTTTAAGTAAGTCTGAAAAAGAATTTAATTATTTAATACTTTTTATAAATACTTTTATGACTTAAAAATTTATCTACTTTATCTTTAATATAAATAAAAAAATAATACACTCATCAGTATAAGTAACTAAATATATACAAAGATCTAGTTTAAAAAAAATAAAAAAGCGTAATAAAAAAAAAAAAAAGGAATAAAAAAAAAAAGAAAGAAGAATAAAGCTTTATAACTTTAGAAAAAATTTAACACCAAACAATCACAAATATTTATATTTAAAAATACCAATTAAGTTTACACTATTTTATAATATAAGGTAATGTCTAACCTCATTTTATGTTAATATGTAGTATTTTTTTTTATTTTCTTTTTATCAATTTATTTGCTGTTTGTTAAAATTACACCAAAAAATTACAATACAAAACGTGGCTGAAGTAAAAAGAAGAAAAGTTGTCCTAACACCGAGACCCGTAACACATGTAGTTTTTTAAAAGTTTTAAAAGTTTAAATACTTAATAAATAATAAAATACCACATAGCACAACAACGTTAGCAAAATACAAATTTCTATTAAGAAATAAAATACAACTAAAAAGAGATAACTATGAATTTGTAAACTTCAAAAAAATTTAGTTATATTTCATTATAAATAAAATATAATAATACGGGATATAAACAAGTATTAAAGCCTGTTATTTCAATATATTTTGTATATTTTTATATTTTTTAGACGAATAAATTTTAATAGCAAAAGTCTGCGATAATAATTTTAAATAATAATTATTTAGCTTCATCTATTTGAACTGTTTTAAAAAAATTTGAAATTTAACATAAGTGTATTTAGTGAGCACTGTTTTCTTAAAACTCTTTAAAGTACAAGTCTTGTTTTTAATTCATAAATATTTCAGATAGATTATTAATATATAATTATCTAAGATAAGATATGAGAATGACAAAGTTATTCTCTGAAAATTTTGTAGGATATTTATGAGAAGCATTAAGTAAAATTGTGTTACTGAAGATAACACAGGTTTATTAAAATAACAACTCTGTCTATACATAACATCTCTGTCTAGATGGATGGAAGATAAGCATTTGTACATGCAGTGACTCACTAGCATGTACAAATCTGCCATTAAACAAGTTTCAGATAATTAGTTCAATCGTTGAAGTTTAATTACCTTATTTAATTTCTTATTTAATTGTTATAAACTATTATAATAATTAACTAATTATTATAAATCTAATTATAGTTTACAAATTAAAAAAGTTAATTCGTAGATACATGATATCGTGATGCATGATTCATAGATACATGTCACATATTACCTATGGGGTTGTTCTTATTTGTATTAAAAAAATGAAAGAATGAAACAATGAAAAAAATGAAGTTTTTGTCATTTAATTATTAGTAGTAATGTTATTATTACTATTTATTACTGGCTTTTAAATGTCATTTTTTAAATAAAGACACACATCTAGATGATCTTAAATTAAAATTTGATTCAACTAAACACTCTTTAATATTACATGAGGTCAGATTTAAAGTTAAAACTTTTTAATGGTGTAAATTGCTGGAGATGAAAATTGCTGGAGATGAAAATTGCTGGAGGTGTAAATTGCTGGAGATGAAAACTTCTTTTTAGCATCACAAATAAAAAAAAAATTTTTGCTATTTCTGGTACGACTTTTTTACAACTGTTTGTAAAAAAGATTTTAAGTTATTAAATATGTATCTATTATTTTTGCTTTGAAAAAGTCGTATTTTAGGTATTAAGTAAAAATTGCAACTAAAAAAACAATGGGTATTAAAAATATTTGAATGATATCTTTAATAACAAACTTTTTACATTAAAAATGTTCAAAATAAACATTTGAATAAACATTTTTTTTGCTTTTTTTTATAATTATTTCATAATTACATAAAACATAGTGAAGAGCATTTTAAATGTGCAAGGTGTTTTTTATATTTTTTGTTTATGACTGTTTTTAATTGTTTATTAAAAATATTTAATAAAATATACAAACAACTAATAAAATTTACAAATATTTAATAATTTAATAAAACAAGATTATTTTTTTGAAGCTAATTAAAAAAAAAGTGAAAAGTTATTGTGCAAAGGCTTAATTTTGCCTGTGTAAACTGAATTACGCAGACATGAAGGAAAGCACGAGGAGTCAACCTCCATCCCTGTAAAAGCAAATATACTTTTTTGGTATAAATAATGCATTGCTATTAAGTACTTGTTTTCTTATTCAAAAAATTTCAAAACTTTGTAAAGCTTACCTCTTTGGGTTCTTTATATGTCTCCTCTAGCTCTTTTAATGTACTTTCAGTTTCTAGATTGGCCTTTCGAATTCTATACATCGGATCTTTTTTTGACACTTCCTCATCTAGAAATGCATACTTAAAACTTTACATTCAATTTTAACGACTAAATAAAATATTAAAATAAAAACTTTAGAAAAAAATCAAACAACTAAAAATATACCATCATCTATAACTTTCATATTGTGTTTAATATGATAAAAGTTTGATATATTAAACTTCTCTAGTTTTGCTGGATCCTAAAATTATTCTTAATAATTTAAATACTTTCTAATAAACATTTTTAATGATAAATTGTTATAAAAAGTTCTAAAAGTCACCCATTACTATTAGTCAACATTATTATTAATCCTCTAAAAAAATCAATAATATCTTTCACACAAGACAATATATAAGATTGTTGAAATACTAGATATGTAAATATTAATTTACCTGAATGGTGATTATGTCTTTTCTGGTAAAAGGCTCGCTTGTTAATAAGTCCTTGAAATTTTTTGTTTTTAGATTTAATTCTTCAACAGCCTACATTAAAATATATAATAAAATATATAAAGCCAACAAATTAAAAAATTTAATTTTTAAAAATCTAAAAGTAAAAATGTTCTTTATTTAACTACTGTTAGAGATGATTTAAGCAGAACTAATAGAAACAGCATAAATTTTCTTTATTCAACTACTGTTAGAGATGATTTAAGTAGAGTTGATAGAAACAGCATTAATTGAAGTTAGTTGTAGTGGTAGAAGCAAAAGCAATAGTAGGTGTCACAGGAAAGAAGTAGAAATAGTAAAAGTGTCAGATGGAAGAAGTAGATATGATAGAAGGTGTCAGAGGAAAGAAGTAGAGATGGTAAAAGGTGTCAGAGGGAAGAAGTAGAGATAGTAAAAGGTGTCAGAGAGAAGAAGTAGAGATGGTAAAAGATGTCAGAGAGAAGAAATAGAGATGGTAGAAGGTGTCAGAGAAAAGAAGCAGAGATAATAGAAGTGTCAGAGGAAGGAAATACACATGATAGAAGGTGTTAGAGGATAGAAGTAGAGATGGTAAAAGGTGTTAGAGGGAAGTGATTAAAGTAATAGAAACTAAGTAAAGATAATAAAAGAATATTCTATTTAGAAAGATATTTATTTGAAAATATATAATATTTATTAGTATATTAATATTAGACATGTATTTATTAGATATATTATTAAAAAGATGTTTGACGAAAGTAAAAATTAGTGAGGCAGCAGTAAGTAAAATAGAAGTTGTAAACAAAAAATAAAAACATTTATAAGTTTTATAACAAAGAGGAAAGAATCAACAGCAAATGCACTAAGAGAAAAACTTTGTAATTTATGTCACTGGCTATAGTTAAAAAACCAATATAAAAAGCTTGATTATACTACTTCTGTAAAAATTCCAAAAAAAAATGCTGAGTACAACTATAAAAAAAAATTACAACATTACAACTATAAAAAGAAAAAAGAAGGAAGATTTGAACAAAGCAATCAAAGTGCAAATTGAGAAAAACAATAATGAAAATATTTTTTGTGAAGTTTATAAGTCCATATTAACATACATCTTTATTACATTTATCATAATCATACGTTTTTTAATACATTTTCAACATAAATTTTAAAAAATGATTTTTCATTTTTAACTAAATATCACTAAATACAACAACACTAATACAAAATCACTTAAAACAAATTATTATTTTTTCTGAATTCATAAACATAAAACAATTGACGATTCAAAAAGTTCACTATTTCAAGATTAGTATTTGTTTCTGGTTGAGTAAAAAAAAGTCATAAATCAGGACAGGAAAAATATTTAACTAATTTATCATAGTTCTCATTTTTTAAATATTTAAATGACACTTTGACCTCTATTGCCTCATTGATATCTAATTGTCTCATTGACATCAAATTTTGTCGAAGCTATATTAATTATTTTTGTTTCTTTGGTCTTTAAACAAATTAATCACATTTATATACTAAATAAACATTAAAAATAATCAAAAAAGTTATAGGTAAAAAATATGAGAAACATTTAAAATAAACAGCAATGTTGACTGTTCAAAAACAAATGCGATAACATCCATTTCCAGACATTTTGGTATTTCTTTTTGTTTTGACATTAAAAGCTCTAAATATCTCAGAACAACTTTCAACATTTATAAAAAATCTGCTAAAAGAAATTGTGTTAAGTGTCTTTGAAATTTACCTTGAGTTGGAACTGTGAAACTTACCAAATAAAAGAATAAACTACATGACCTTACTTAAAAGCAAAAAAATATGCAATGATTGCATATTTAAAAAAATAAGTTTTTAACTCTTTACTGATAAATTTTAGTTGTTATCAATAAAGAAATACGGTTGTTTTTTCTTAAAAACAATCATAATAACAATAATAAAAATAATGATGGTAAATAATTATGATAACATTATTATTATACATGTTAAAATTTACCTCCATTGAAAATACATTTCCTGTGGTTTTTATGGCAACAATTGTTGAATTCTCATTAAACACTTTATACATAACTGGACAATGATATTCTCCTAAATAAAATTAAAAACTTCATCATACTTGGACAATAATACTTTTGTAAATAATATTAAAAACTTTATATATAACTGGATAATGACATTCTCAAAATGATATTAAAAACTTTAAACATTACAGGCTAATGATAATCTCCTAAATAATAGTAAAATCAGTAACAACATTAACTCCAAAATAGATGACATGTTCTTATTTTGAATATAACAAGCTTTTTCATTCATTTAATGTTACAGAACTTTTCTTAGTCTTTTATAAATCAACTGTTAGTAATGATACTTTGTTAATTATGCAGTCAGAGTATAGGATTAATTCTTGAATTCTGATTTATTTTTACATAAATATTACTTTGAAAACCTTTGGTCTTATTGAATTTACATCAAAAGACTTAAACCTTTTTTTAAAGAATGCTAATAAGTAGCAAGTATAGTGGTCCATTTAACCGCGGCAAAATAAATACGCAGAAAAAAAAAAGAAAAAAAATATATTCATATAAATGTAACATATATTCAATTATTCAGTAAACATACCTTTAGAGTTTTTATGAAAAGTTAGCTTTATGAGATCTTTAGCAGACATAGGCTATAGAAAATTAATAAAAATTGACATAAGAATAAAACTAAAAAAACAACAACAAATTATGTGTATTTATATGTATGCATGTGGAATTTTATCTAATGGTATATTAGATAAAATAATATTTGTCAAAAACAACAAGAAACAGATTAACTGTAAATTATAAGATGTTTTTACTTATCTTTTAAGTGTAAATACAATCAAGAATGTTTAAATCAAACTCATAAATTATAAAATTAAAAGTAAATATAACTCTAAGAGAGTAAAAAAATACAAAATAGAAGTAACTTTTACCTCTCCAGTGACCGGACTTTTTTTGAAAACTTTTAAAAATGGTAAGATGTTCCTTAATAAAAAAATTAATTTTGATAAAAATTGAATTGACCAAAAAAAAAATTATTCAAAAGAAGAAATTATTTAAATTATAAAAATAATGTTTTGCTTTTTTGTTTCAACAATAAAGTTGTGAAAGTTTTAATATCTAAGTTGTCATGCGGACATGTAAGTGATTAAAGTAGAATCAAACTTAATTTAATTGAATAAAAAAAAAAAAAATTAATTTAAACTAAAATAAAACTTTTATAATTAAAACCCAGTAACAACTTAGTGGTAGAACACCCAAACAATCAATAGGGTTCAAAACCACCTTTTGCCTCTAGAAAAACTGCGCTCAACCTCTCTTCGTGTAACAGCCTTGTTTAAATTTACATTTGTAATATAAAGTATAAATTTAAACAATAAAAACAATTGTATCTATAACCATACATCATTATTAAAGACAGTAATAATAATAATAACAATAACAATAATATATTTTCCAACCATTACAATTTTAAATCTTATGAAGCACCTGAATATAACTTTTATTCACAACCATTTTAGACCAAGGACAAAACACACATGATACAAAAATAATTAAAGGTTGAAAAATTTAATACTTCTTCAATAAAAGAAAGAAGCAAGAATATATAAAACTCTACATAACAGGAATAAATTTAATTGACAGATTGATGAATAGAAAACATTTGTATTAAAAGAGTTATACTTACAATAAATCAAATACAACTCCTTCAACTGTGCATAGCGGATGTTCAAAAGGTTGTAAAGAAATGCTTAAAAAAAAAGTGCAAACATTTTTTATTAAAAATAATTAAAAAAATTTAAACTAAAATTAAATTAAAATTATTTAAATCAAGAGGTAGCAAAGCTAAAGTAGCAAGGCTAAAGTAGCTAGGCTAAAGTAGCAAGGCTAAAGTAGCTAGGCTAAAGTAGCAAGGTAGCTTTCTTGCAAAGTAACTTATATAAAAAAATTATTAATTGACCAAAACATAAAATTTCAAAACTACCTGCAGTAGTTAAATGGCAGTCTACGAAACTTTTCAATTTGTCCTTCATCTAAATACATTATTAAGATCATTAATATGTAAAGCTAAAAATTAACCATGTCTAAACTGCTGACATCAGCTTTTGTATCGATGAAACTCACCTTTCTTTCCACCCCATTCTTCTTTCCACTCCTTTGTAGTAAGATAACTAAAAATTAAACATATATCACTTATTGTTTTGTATACTTTCCAGAAAACAATTCACCTTAAACAAGGCCATGAAGTTATGAAATTTGGAAGTTCCAATTTTCTATTTAAATATGACATTACCAAGCATTTGAAGCAATTGTTTAGAACTAAATATCATTCTTGATGTTAACTTGATCATGTTGGCCACATGAAATTTTCATAATAAAAAGAGGTTATTAGAAGATTTTAGAGGAGATCTTGTTTCTAATTTTTTTTTTGCAAAACTACAAAATTTATAATAAAAATAGAGGATTTTAGAGGATTTTTTAAAATAAGTTTAATGCAAATGTGTCCACACTAGTGGGGGTTTGAACAGGAATAACTAATGCCATTTTTCTTATGTTAAATGACATGGATTTGCTAGAAGCATGCTTGTTTTTTTTAAAGATTATCAAAAAAATAAAAAAAAAAAGTGAAAGAGGAGATTTTATCATATTTTTGACTTTTTGGAGGATAATAGAGGATTCTAGAAAAGACTTTTGAAAAATGAAGGCATTTGATGATTTTAGAGGAGGTTAGACCACCCTGCTGTTTTGCAGATCATGACTAAATAATTTTATTTACCACAAGAAAGATTACCATGCACCTTTTCTTGTCATCAGTTAAAGGTTTTATATAAGATTTTTTGATTTCCATTGAAAATTGCTATAATTACAACTAAGGAGTCTCACCTGTCTCAATACAAAATCAGTTTAACACCACTACTAGGACATATATAATATGCAAAATATCATTATATAAAAAATATAAAATATGTAAGTTAATTTAAATTATATAACATAAATAAATTATAAATAACTTTTATTAAAAAAAGTAAATATAAAATAGATCATAAAGATATAAAACAATATAAAACATATTTTTAAAAAGGTATGAAAAATAGCAAAAACTAACCTATAAACAATACATAAATTAATATATCAATAGAGCATAAATTATTAAAAAAAAGAATAAATTACAATAAACCTTAAATTTATCAACAAAGTATAAACTTACAGTTTATCCTTCTGGTGTTGTTTCTTTCCCATTTTGTAAAAATATATATGTTTATTATACTTTTATTATATTTTCTATAAAAGCAGTATAAAAAAAATGCAATCGCTCAAAAAAGTCAATATTAAAAAAATGCAATCGCTCAAAAAATAAAAACTGTATCGAATGTCAAAAAAAAAAAAAAAAATTGAAAGAAAAAAATAGTTTTTATCTTCAAACCAATCATTTTAATTAAATAATAAAATTAATATATTATAAATATATTAGTGAGTTTAATATATTTGAAATATATATAAAAGATAATTATGAAAGGTATTTAACCAAGATAAAACTATTAAAAAACTAATTTTAAGTAAACTGAATTGTTGATAATATTTTTAGTGGAAATATTGCCAAAAACAAAAAGTTAAAACAAAATCAATATTAAACATAAATTATTCAAACTAAATATAAATAGAAACAATTTTAATGCTATGCATCAAACTACAATATGGTAATCTTCTATGAAATGCTTTGATTGCGGAAAACAAATGTTATCAAACCACAATCGCCCAGTTCTTCTCCCTTTCACATTAAAAAAATTCAATTAGGGAATAAAAAAGAGCAAAAAAAACAACAAAAATATTGTAAGTAAATACTGTATATAGACACAAGGCAAAGCAAAACAAGTATACAAGCAGATTACATGTTAAACATTTTATTTGCTCTTCAATAGCATAAAAAAGTAAACTCTGACAGTCAATTTAATTTTAATTTTAATTTTTAAAGAGTGTCAATTTAAATTTTAAAGAATAATGGTCTACACCGATGAAAGGTAATTGCACGCGTTCCATGAAATTGGGAGGAAAAAAAAAACTATTAGCTAATTATTTGATTTTATATAAAATATTTAATAAAAAGTTTTTTTTTTAAAAAAAACCCTGTTTAATCATACATTAATGTTGAAATATTGATAAATATATATATCTATATCTCTCTCTTTATATATATATATATATATATATATATATATATATATATATATATATATATATATATATATATATATATATATATATATATATATATATATATATATATATATATATATATATATACATACATATATATATATATATATATATATATATATATATATATATATATATATATATATATATATATATATATATATATATATATATATATATAAAACCAACACAAAAACCTTTATAAATATTATATATTATAACCTGTGTGACCATTTCTAAAAGTCAGAAACTTTTTAACAAATTAGAAAATAAAACAGATACCATAATGTTACCAACATTGTCTTTAGGTATGTGGTCCCATTTCATTAGCTCAGCCATTGATACACTTTTCTAATATATAAAGTAAAATATTAGGAAATAAAAATACAAATATAAATATATATCAAAGTCTCAAAACCAACAAAAAATACGTAAAATCTTTTTTGAATCTTATATTATGTTGACATTAAGTCATCTGCATTATGTTGACATTAAGTCATCTGCATTATGTTGACATTAAGTCATCTGCATTTTATTTTTTTGTTTTCTTGAAACAAAGCAGTGTTAAGTGTTCAAACTCAATGACACCTGTGTGGTGTAGCAGTGTTGCTTTAAAAAATGGGCATTATTTTTCAATCATTTTCAATATATTTTTTTCAAAACTTTTATGTATTTCCAATAAATTCAATATATGTTGTAACAAAAAAAAAGGGACAAATTAAAAAATTTTTCCGAACTTGGATTTGACTGTTGTTTGATTCTATTATGTTAATTGAATAGATATGCAAAAAAGATATTGCTTCATAGCATTGTATTTTTCTTATAGAAATATCCAGAAATGATTGATGATGTGTGTATAGGCATTTTTTTTTGTGAAAAAGATATGAATTTTTATAAGAAAATGACTCTCCTATATAGTAATAGTTTGTCTTATAAAATAGTTAATAAAAAAACTATGGTTGGTTATCCGGTCAATAAATGAGTATTTACAAAAAGGTAAACAACATTTTAAAACTTTAGAAAAAAAAAATAAAAATGAAATAAAGCTGTATAATTTTTATTGATATGGTTAATAAATTTTTCAAGTTCTATTTCTAATAAATCCTATCCATCTTTTTCAATGTAATTATATTCCTCAAGTTCTTTTTTCCATTTTTTTTTTAAGCGATTTGCACTGATCACAAATGTTTAAATTTAAATAGCAGGACTTTACCTAATAATGTTAATGTTTTTTTAATGTAGGACTCGCATAAGCACATCTACTTAAATCAACTCATGGACTTGTAGCTTTGTTAAAAAAGACGTTTAAAAGAAAATGTAAAATAAAAAAATAAAAAAATTACAAATATGAAGTTTTCTTTCTTTTCTTACAAATTTTCATTTTTTATTGGGTTTTTTCATTGCATTTTGCAATCCTAACCCTGTTTCTTCTCTAACAGCTCCTAGTGCTGCAGCTTTAGCTACAGCAACAGCAGAAGGGGCAGCAATGACAGCAGCTGCAGCAGCTTTAGCTCCTAATGCGGCAACAATAGGTGCAATGATAAACAGAAAAAATCCACCACATCATTTTTTTTTCCATTTTTTCCTTCTGCTTCCAACATGGTTTGGCATGCATCCCAATACCATGGGAGGTAATATGAGTCGATTTTCAATATTTATGCGCAATATTTTTAAAAATGTTTTACTCCTCTACCAATACTCAATTTGAGTAATGATCGACATTTATTATTTATTTTGCAAAACGTTTTACAGCTTCAAGTTTTGCTCATTTAATTTAAAATAAGAACTTGTTAAATTTGAAAAAAAAAATTAATGGTTTAAGTATTGCGTAGCTGTAATTGAAAAAAGCTAAGATTTTGATCAAATCCTTTTCCAGTGATGGCATATTGACTTTCATGTATCAAATCAATACGTACTACTGCGTTACTTACAAAGGTGCTAAATTTAAGACTAATAGAAGCGCTAGACAAGCCTTTGGGAGAACATTGAGAGAGTCCATATCGACAACTCCATTTTTATTGGCTGTGAGATCAAAAGCTAATACTTCATTATAAAAATTATTTAAATGAAAAGTTTCTTTCGCAATTTTGCTAGTATAATCCACTGTAAAACGCAACATTTGATTTCTAAGATCATTTTCAGAACTTGTACCATTATTAACAAATGACAAATTCTCCTAACATTTTTGAATGAAAAATTGGGTATGTTGTTGCATCAGCTATAATAGGAGTGGTAGGATCAATCATGTGGGCTAAAGTTACTGCTCTGTTAATGCCTAAACCATTAGTCAGGTCAAGACCAGCACTATCTACGTGATAAGATGCCATTTGTGGTAAGTATACATTATTTAGATAGATTGTACTATATTTTAATCCCTAAACATAACTTCTCTGGTCATTTTCTTATTATTAGTATTCAAACTGTTATTTGCTGTTGTTTGATTGTTGAATTCAAAATTCAGATAAAGTTTTAAACCTTTTATGAGCTTCAACATGAAATTAGTTGATGATTACAGTCATTTTCTAAAATGGCCTATACACACATCATCAAATGATAACTGATAACAATGCACAATGATAAAATATACACACATCATCAAATGATAATTGATAACAATGCACAATGATACACACATCAAATGATAACTGATAACAATGCACAATGATACACACATCATCAAATGATAACTGATAACAATGCACAATGATACACACATCATCAAATGATAACTGATAACAATGCACAATGATTAAATAAAAAGATGGTCTAGAAACAATCAACCCTTGGAATTAGAAAAAATGAGGTCAGCAATTTATTGCCATCCTTAAACTGTTAGAGGTCAGCATCAACTTGCCAAAAAAATTTGTCACAAATGAGTTACCATAAAACATAGAAATGAGATCTGCGGTTTTTAGCCGTCCTCAAGTACTTTTAGGTCGGCATTGCCGAGTGCCGACCTTAATTCCGAGGGCTGAACAATGTTTGTAAAGGATAAAAAGATACAAGTTGAGATATCATGAAATCAAAAAAAAAATGTTAAATTGAAATAATCATATTCTTTAGCTTTTCTAACATATGTAGTAATTGCATTAAAAATTGCTTGATAGTTCACACCTCATTAGAGCTGATTAATTTCTTCAACTTGAAAGACTTATGTTCATCATTCTGTAAATAATAATTTATATTTTAATATTAAACCAATAATAAAATTCAACTTTATTTAAATATAAATTATAATACTATATATAGAATTGTATATAACCTATTATATTGTGTATAAACTATAACTGTTATATGTATAAACTGTATTATATATAACTATTATATATTTAAACTATGAATACTATGAACAATTTTAAAATATATATTTATAAAATCTAACATCAATACAACAACAATTTAAAAGTTCGTGCGTCAGACAGGTAGATGATTCTTGAAAGGAAAACAAGTCCTAAACAATAAATAAATAAAAAATCAGAAATTATAATTTAAAAAAAAAAAAAAAAGAAAAAAATTTTAAATGATAAAAAAAATTTTATGATTTTATTAAAACTGTCTAAATACGATTCACTTTAGCAATAATGTATTTACTCTAAAGAAAATATTTTTAAGTTTTTTTAATCTTTTGCATTATTGTTTTAAACTCTTCTGCATATGTATTAATATCAAAACATTGAAAAATGAATAAAGTACTCTAGTAAAAATAACTAAAGTACTCTAATAAAAATGACTAAAAAGTTTCCTAATAAAAATGACTAAAGTACTCTAAGAAACAGGTAAATGCTTTGCAAATAAATTCTTTTTTTTTTGCTTTTAATAACTTGAATTAACTTGTATCTCCAAAGTTTTTTGTGAATAATAAAAAGTTCATTTTGAACATAAACAAAAAATTTTGAATTTAAATGTAGACTGACTTGAGTTTCAGAATTCAATTATAAATTAGCAGTGAGATACTAAGATGAGATAATAATATATTAGTCAATACATTAGTGAGATAATACTTAAATTAGAAAATCTTTTACAAGGATGATAATTAGTAAAATAAAAATTAAAAATTATTTATCGAAATCATTCAATTTAAAGACAAAATCATTATCACTAAACTTGAAACAATTGAAAAATAAATATTCTGAATATTTAAAAGTTAAATTAGTCATAAAAACCTTACTTTTAGATCATCTTGACTAAATTCAGTTTTCTTAGTTATAAGTGAATCTACAACAGTTTTACTTAAAGCTTGCTTTACAATTTGTCGCTGGTAAATCTTTTCTTCTATTGAGCCCTAAATAAAGGTATATATAGAAACATATATGTGTATGTATCTGCAATTGCATACATATGTGTTAGTTTTCTCCATTTGGTTGGAGCTTACGCACTCAAACCATCTTGATAACATTCTTATGAATAAATTATTTATTAATAATTAAAATAATTAATTTGTACAATTGTAAGCATTATCAGAATCTAAAAACTGTTTTTATATAAACTATTTTTATCAAAATCAAATAAAATTTTGTTTTTGATTTTTAATTATTTTATTAAGAAATAAAACATTCGTTTTGCCCTTTTTTTTTTTTTAATTTAGATAAAACGTTTGTTTTGCTTTTTAATTTTATTTAGAATTTATTCAAGCATTTTTATCGCGGTTGGTTTTTTAAATTTAAAAAGCAAATAAAAATTAGTGCGCGCTACCCTAACAATGACCATCCCGCCAACGCTTTTTTGTGCACTGGCATTAAATTTTAATTGGAGAAGACTTATGTATGTATAGAAACATATACGTGTGCATGCAAGTACATGCATATGTGTATGTTTGCATACAACCATACAAATATCTGTGTGTACTTATAGATTTGTATACTAATTTAATTAGGCATGAAACTTCAAGTTTCATACCTAACAGCAATCATCAGCCATATAATACAAAATTTAAAATAAACCTTAAAATTACAATTAAAATTACGGTGGCGTGAGTTCTAATGACTCCATGGAAACAAAATTTTTTAAAGTTCTAAGAGTATCACATGGCGAAAAAGTGACGTAAACCAATCAGGATCAATCTGCAGTATCATAGGAGGAAATAAGAAATTTGTTTTTGTGTCTACACTTTGAGATCATTTCACTCCTTGTGTTAAGTAGGTTTTCACCTTTATACATCAGAATTTGAAACTTCTTGTTCAAACAGAGGTTGCAAACTCTTGATGCTGGGTTGTATGGTTTGCAATGTTTAACAATCTTTTATCTGACAAAAGATGTAAAAATTTTTCCTTTTAATTTCCATATTTCTTTAGATAACTCAGTATCATTTTTATATCTAATTGAATTAAAAGATTTGAGGTGGTTTGCGTATCAAACTTTAAAAGATGTCTCACTGAGTCTAAAATAAACTTTTTCTTTGTACTCAGGATTGTTTGAACAAACCGTGGCTTGATAAACAATGTTGTTAGAAAGACAATTGTTGCTTATCAGAAAGAAAAGGTTGCTCATCAGACATTTGGATTTATCAATGCAGTTGCATGTCTTTTTATTAACATTTTCCTCCTCATGTAACGTGTTTTTATTGTGAGAGTTGATAATGGATTTTATGTTTGGCATGCATAAATAACTTATTTTGATTGTGTTTCTATTAAATATTTTATGGAGTCTGTGGTTGGAAAGTGGTGGTCTGTGAGGTTTGGAACTGAAACTGGAAAGTGGTGGTCAATGAGGTTTAAAAAACATTTACCTATTTTTGTTACAACATTTGCACTGAAAGGAGGATTATACCAAATTATTTTACGTTTATGACTGCTGTTTGAAGATTTTATACTTGGATGGTATGCAAGTTTGCAAGTGTATCCAGATTTTTTTAGGGCTTCTTGATAATATATCTTTTTGTAAAAATGCCGTATGGGTTAAGGTAAGCAAAAAAAGTGAGCAAATGCTTATAAAAATACGCTTTAGTAAGTGTATATATATTTCATAATATATGATATTTATATATATATATGATATATATATATATATACATATATATATATATATATATATATATATATATATATATATATATATATACATATATACATATATACATATATACATATATACATATATACATATATACATATATATATATATATATATATATATATATATATATATATATATATATATATATATATATATATATATATATATATATATATATATATATATATATATATATATATATATATATATATATATATATATATATATATATATATATATATATATATATATATATATATATATATATATATATATATACAGGGTGGCCCATAAGTCACTTTACATTTTAAAAATTAAATAACTTTTTCTTAAACGACTGTATTTAATTCTTTTTTTATGTCAAAGTTTAGAGTCTGTAAGTTAGTTCTGACTAGATAATGTCTCTTAAATAGCCTCCATTCTTGTCTTCACAATGTCGTGCTCTTTTTAAGCTATTCTCTACAACACTTCTTAACATCTGAGGTTGTAGGGAAAGAATTTCCTGTCGTATGTTTGCCTTGAGATCTTGAATAGTTTGGGTACGCTTATTTGCGTACACTTTGTCTTTAAGATATGCCCAAAGCCAAAAATCTGATGCTGTCAAATCAGGAGAACGTGGAGGCCATTCAAAATCGGATTTAAGAGAGATTATCCGATCCTGAAACATTGCAGTTAACAACTGCATTGTGGCTCTAGCGGTATGTGCAGTTGCTCCATCTTGTTGCCACTAATACCCTGCCAGGTTTGCTAACTGAGGTTGAACAAAATTCGCTAGCATGTCTTGATATTTTTCAGCAGTTACAGTCACAGCATTTTCATTTACATTTTCAAAGAAGAAGAGCACAATAACCTTTTCTGATGTTACTCCACACCATGTTGTGACTTTAACTGGGTGTAATTGACTTACATGAACTTGGTGTAGATTTTCAGTGCCCCAGAATCTGATGTTCTGCTTATTCACATGTCCGTTCAAATGGAAATGAGCTTCATCTCCCATGATCAACTTGTGAATAAACTCATTGTCATTTCTTGCAGTTCTCTGAAACCTGACAGCATAATTTAGTTGTTTCTGAAAGTCTGGTGGTTGTAAAGATTGCACTAATTGAATCTCGTAAGGGTACATATCCAAGTCTCTTTGAATGCGCTGCAGAGAACTCCGTGAGATGCCAAGTTCTTGAGAACGCCTTTGAGTGGATGTGGTTGGGTTCTCTTCAATGCCACGGCTGGCAGCTTCAGTATTTTCATGTGTACGTTCTGAATAACCTCGTCCACTTCTAGTCCTATCACTTACAGAGCCATGCTCTTGAAAACGCGTCACTAAGTTCATTATTGCAGGCCTACTAGGGAGATATCGAACATTAAAATGGCGCATATACGATCTTTGCATTGCAACAATTGACCGTCCATTTTCAAAGTAAAATTCACTTATCTTCACTTGTTGTTCTATTGTAAACGTATCTATACTAAAAATTTCCAAAGATTATATTTTTTAATTCTGAAAAGAGAAATAGAAATATATTAATAGAAATAAAGTTATTTAATTTTTAAAATGTAAAGTGACTTATGGGCCACCCTGTATATATATATATATATATATATATATATATATATATATATATATATATATATATATATATATATATATATATATATATATATATATATATATATATATATATATATATATATATATATATATATATATATATATATATATATATATATATATATATATATATATATATATATATATATATATATGATGATTGTCTGACATGACAAAGTGCTAGTAACATCACACTAACAATTTTGATAAAAAAAACAACTGGTTTGTTGCCCAAAACTGGATAACAACTCTTTTTGCACCACAATACTCCTAAACTTCCAGAAATCCTTACATAATTGATTATTGCAAATAAAATTACTTTGCGTTCATTTACAAATTTTTATTTTTTATTTAGGTCTAATAATAGTTCTTAATTAGGACAATGATTTTTTGATTTAATTTACTCACTTTGTGTCACATGTCTTAAAAAATAAAAGTAAAAAATAAATTTCAGCATTCTGTCTCAAAAAAGTACTTTTTTGGCCGGAACCATAACAAACAAAAAGTCACAAATTCTGGCCAGAATTCCACTACAACCCTAGAAATTACAATCTATTAATATTGAGGAATGTAATCTTCAAAATCCAAAAATTAAACTGTACTTTTCTGTTTTGCACAAACCTTGGATCACAAAATAATTAAACTCTGCAATGAAAAATAAAAAAAAACTTCATTATAAAAGCAAAGACCAAAACAAACATTTAGGCACTAAAAAATATTACTGCAAAGAAGTAAAAAAAAACAAAAACAACTACTGCAAAAAAGTAAAAAAAAAAATTGTTCTATATATTACTTAACATGAAAAATCAGTAAAAATCAAAATTAAAACTTACTTATCTTATATTTAACTTATATAAAATATATAAAACTTAGTAAAAAATTGCATAAGATGAAAGAATTAAATGGCAATGTCACAGCTGACAATGTCACAACTGACAATGTTACAAATGACTATGTTACAACTGACAATGTTACAACTGACAATGTTACAAATGACAATGTTACAAATGACAATGTTACAAATGACAATGTTACAAATGACAATGTTACAAATGGCAATGTTACAAATGACAATGTTACAAAAGACAATGTTACAAATAACAATATTACAAATAGCAATGTTACAAATGACAATGTTACAAATAGCAATGTTACAAACGACAATGTTACAAATGACTATGTTACAAATGTTACATCTGATCAAAGCAATATTGTTACAAATGTTACAAATGTCAATGTTACAAATGTCAATGTTACAAATGACAAAGTTACAAATGAAAAGCAATATAGTTACAAATGTTTCAAATGTCAATGTTACAAATGACAAAGTTACAAATGACATTGTTACAAATGACAATGTTACAAATAGCAATATTACAAATGGCAATGTTACAAATGACAATGTTACAAATGACAATGTTACAAATGACTATGTTACAAATGAAAATGTTACAAATGTCAATGTTACAAATGACAAAGTTACAAATGAAAAGCAATATAGTTACAAATGTTTCAAATGTCAATGTTACAAATGACAAAGTTACAAATGACATTGTTACAAATGACAATGTTACAAATAGCAATATTACAAATGGCAATGTTACAAATGACAATGTTACAAATGACAATGTTACAAATGACTATGTTACAAATGAAAATGTTACAAATGGCAATGTTACAAATGACAATGATATATATGACAATTTTACAAATGTTACTTCTGATCAAAGCAATATAGTTACAATCCTTAACAATTTCTTTTCATTTGTTTTTACTCCTTTAAGTTCAAGTCAATCATTGCCAGCATTCAAGAAACGCACATTTTCTGTGACTGATAAGATGTTGGTCTTGAACAAACTTAATGTTAACTAGATACAATCACTATTCTTAAAATTTAACATAAACCAGGTGTAGATCACTTTCACCTACATGTCTTTATCAATGATAACTACATACAATCACTACTCTTAAATCACTACTCTTATACATTTATAAAATCTATTTCTAAACGTTTAGTCCCAAACACATGGGTGGAAGCTAACACCACACCACTTCACAAAAAAGGGTCTAAACTTGATGCATCAAAGTACAGATTCATTTCTTTAACTTCGGTCTGCTGCAAACTCTTAGAGCTTATTATAAAAGATTGTTTAACTGAGTACCTATCTGCTAATAATCTTTTATTTCAAAATCAGCAAAGATTTGTTCCAAAAAAATCATGCATTACTTATTGGAAACTATTGATCAGATCATATTTGTGTAGTGTAGATGCTTTATATCTAGATTATGAAAAAGTGTTTGAGACACCTCCTCATGATCTTATGTTCCACCAACTATCTGGTTATGATGTCGCTTATATGCTACCTTATTGGATTTAGTCTTTTCTTTCTAACAGAACACAACCAGTTGTCATGGGTTTTGGTATTTTCAGATTAGTTACCAGTCACTTATGGTCTCACAAATACCTGTTCTAGGACCTCTTCTATTAGTCTTATACATCAATGACATTACAAATCTAGTTAACAATCCAATGAAGTTATATGATTATGACAGTAAAGTTATTTCCACCAACTCAACTCCTGACAGCCCATTTAGGTTCCTGAACAACATAAATCAAAGTCCACATCTTCCTGAACAACATAAATCAAGTCCACATCTTGGACTACAATCTGGAAACTTGCAACTTAATTACAAAATCTGCTTTATCTTACACTTAAACAAAAGCAAAAGCCCCAATTATAAATATTAAACCTTGACTCAACAAGGGACGCAGCTTCTCTATTCGTTTTACAACGAAAGAAATTTTGACATTTGCATTTCACACAACTTCAAATGGGACATGCATGTCAAAATAATATCATCAAAAGCTCCCTCTGTCCTCAATCAACTAAAGAAAGCTTTTATCTATAAAAACTAACAAATCTGGAAGAGACTCTACACATCACTGGTCATACTCTATCAAGTATGCTGCCCCTGATGGAACTCTTTTTCTGCAAACAACGTTAAAATACTTTTAAAAAAGCCAGATTATCACATCTTCATCTATCTTCATCATCTTCACATCTTCATCATCTATCACATCATCATTCATTATCACATCAAGCCAGATTATCACACCTCAAAAAGTGAAAGACGCAATGGAGGTGGATTTAACAATGAAGGTGATTTAACAATGGATTGACTCTCATTATCTTAATGAGTTTAGAAATTGCATCAACAAAACATAAAATTATCTACCTAAATGCTGCTACAGTTTATCATCTACTGACAATTTATCCATTGTAAAATTATCTGGTTTGAATAATAAATGTACTTACCACCGAGTTTACACAATTTACACAATTACACAATTAGATTGGGTTTTCCCTATTTATACAAAATGTTTGCACTAAATTAAGCATTTTAGTTCAACTGAAGACTTTTCACAAAGTAGAAATTGTAATTAAACAAAAAATACTGCATTTCTACTGTTTCATTTGTATTTCCATTAAAATATTTTGTTTTTATTTACCACAAAATCAAATTTTTTTTAATTTAAAAAAAAAAATTTTTTTTCAATGTTAGGATTTTATTAGCTAAACTTGTTTTTAGCAATTATTAGTTTTGTTTTAAAATAAAATACACATTAGGTTAAGTTTTTGAAGACTTTTGAAGCATTACTAATTGATCATGTTGTTTTTATTTGGTTATTATACATTTTACAAAAGTTTATATATAAAAGCATTCTTCTACATAAAAATTAATTGCAAAAAGGAAAACCCAAACAATATTTAAAATTCAAGTTTAAGTTATTTGAAACAAAAAAATTTTGTATTGACGTAATTTATTAACTACAAAAGGACATTAATCAGGATATTGATATATTTTTACTATATCTTTACTATTTTTTTAAATATATATCTTTACTATTTATATGATATATCTTTACTATTTTTTTTTTTTTTAATATCAAAGACCTTCGAGAAATAAAAGTTTTTTCCTAATAATTCCATAAATAATTTGTTTTGGAAAGTTTAATTTGCATAAAACTAATTTTTTATTTATTTAAGATACAAACACAACTTGTCTTATCAATTAGAGATCCCTTTAATTAAAAAAGATTTGCATACTAAAGTGTACTTTATCAATATTTTTCTGGATGTTTATAACTAATAACTTTTTAAAGTTGTTTTTTTTATGTATTTTTATAAATTTTATATATTTTTAAATATTTTTATATTATTTGCTCATATTAGTTATTATTATTTTTTTTTCAAGTTACTTAAAATTTTAAGTTTTCACATAAAAACAAAATTACTCATACTGCATATACTTTGCGTTAACTTGTGTGTTATTAATTTCTAGATTATACTAGTTCATTGGGTATTAGCTGCTTATGTTTATGATGCTAATGTTTGACCGCAATCAATTTTATTTAATCAGGTTTTGGGGTATTCATAATAAAGTTTTATAATATTAACATACTATTAAAAAATAAATAGATGTATGCAAATAGACAAAAACTAAAATTGCAAAAAAAACAAAAAATAACTGTTAAGAATTACTGTTAGTAATAGACGGTAAATTTTCACTTCTTTTCGCTGTCCATCTCTCCATATACGAGCCATAGCCAAAAAAAAAAAAATTAAAAAATTGCTTAAATTTTAATTACTAAATAAAAAGTTATTAAAAAATCAATTACTAAAATTATATTAAAAACATATTAAAAAAAAGTTATACATATGTACATATACATTTTATTTATCTAATTTATCAAGTTATAAAAATAAATAATTCTAAACTAAATTTATACACTGTGTTATGCTTAGTAAATAGTGATAAAAAACATTGATTTAGCCTTGGTGGCCTAATTAGCTAGCTTGCTACTGCTACTGCTGATGGGGTTGGTGCATTAGAGGAGTTTAAACCCCTCTGCTTGCAAATTTTTTTGTAATTTTTTCAATTTTTTTAAATACAAAAAACAATTCTAAAGTTCTATAGATTTTTTGTACTTAATATATACATATCTATATCTATAACTAAAATCACTCTTTTCACCTGCTCAATAAATGGGTGAGTGGGTGGAGAAGGTTTAACTAACAGAAGGGAGAGATTTTTAAGTATAAAAATTTTAAAAACATATAAATCTGCAAGCAATTTGTTGTGCATTTATTCTAAATGATAGAAATACTTACATTTTTTAATATGTTTATGTAATTAGTTAAAAAGGCTAAGAGATTAACCAAAGTTAAAGATAAAAAACTAAAGGGACAATTTTCATTCTTGAAGGAAAAAAGACTTTAAATTTAAACTCATTAGGGAAAGGTCCTAATGAGTTCAAGATGGTTAAAAAAAAAACTTTTTAGAAACGCATATAAATATGCTATATATATATATATATATATATATATATATATATATATATATATATATATATATATATATATATATATATATATATATATATATATATATATATATATTAGGGTGTTTCATATTTTATCAATTTTTGAAATTGAACTCGCGAATCAATTTATAAACTGATCATTTGTATAAAAATAAGTTTGAGCAAAAAAAGTATATATATATACTTTTTAGGGTCCCTGCCAGTTTGATTTTGGGCAAAAATGTTGCCTGGCGGGGACCTTAAAATTTATCCTATAAAATTTTTTATTCTTTTAAATAATATATTTTGGATTGAATATTATTAACATAAAAGGAGCATGTCGAAAAAATAAAGAAATTAGTCTATTGGCGTATTTTAATAAATTTATTTTTTAGTTAATAAATTTATTTTAAAGAATAATTAATAAATTAAATTAGTTGGTGGCGTAATTTATAACTTGGAGGTGTATTTTAATTTTTTCAACATGCTCCATTTATGTGATTAATATTCAATCCAACATATAATATTTAAAAGAATAAAAGATTTTAGAAAATAAATTTTAAGGTCCCCGCAAGCCGTTTAAAATACCCTTCATTTTTGCCCAAAATTGAACCGGCGGGGACCCTACGAATAATATGTATATATATATATTTTTTGCTGAAACTTATTTTCATAAAAATGGTCAATTTATAAATTGATTCGCGAGTTTGATTTCAAAAATTGATAAAATATGAAACACCCTAATATATATATATATATAAAGCCTTTTGAATTAGGAAAAAAGACCTTAAACTGTTAGAGGTAGGCAAACAAATTTTGACACAAAGTGTTTACTACAAAACATAAAAACGATTTTTTGCCAACCTTCAACACTTTTAGATCGACAGTAAGGGTACCATTGCCAAATGCTGACCCTAATTCCAAGGGCTGATACACACACACACACACATATATATATATATATATATATATATATATATATATATATATATATATATATATATATATATATATATATATATATATATATATATATATCCTTATAGTGTAGTCGAAAGAGTCTTTTAATGTAAAAAAAGTCTCTTTCGACTACAATTTTAATTACCTCGTCTCTTAAGCTGTATTTGATTGTCGTCGAAATGTCAAAGCAATTAAATTAATGCGGAAGTACATTAAATTTTATTGTTTTTTAAAAAAATTTTAAAAAACCGCAATAATAACGACTAGAAAGTTTTTTTTAATTAGTAGTGTTTTTGTTTTTGTTTTATTAAAAAACATTTTTAAAATATGCGTAAATGTTGCTATATCGACTATCTTATAGTCTGCTGTTACAAGGGAGTGTTTCTACATCGACTATCTTATAGCTTGACTCGCAAGGGAGTGCTGCTACATCGACTGACAAATAGCCTGACTCGCAAGGGAGTGCTGCTACATCGACTGACAAATAGCCTGACTCGCAAGGGAGTGCTGCTACAACGACTGACAAATAGCCTGACTCGCAAGGGAGTGCTGCTACATCGACTGAGGGTTTGGTTTAGGCAGGCAGTCTATCATTTAAAAAAAAATAATAATTTAAGTTTTTAAACTTTTTCTGGTCTGGTTTATTAACGCGCTCTTTAAAACTACAGTTTATGGGAAACTCTTTTTAACTACCATGCAAGAGTATATATATATATATATATATATATATATATATATATATATATATATATATATATATATATCAGTATAAGATAAAATACTTGTAAATCGTTTGCTGGATTCCAGTCAATATCATAAAGAACAAGATTTGAAGCACCAACAAGATTTAATCCTACACCGCCAGCCTTTGAACTCAATAAAAACACATCTAAAATTATAAACAATTTTTAATAAATCACTTAACAGTTCCAAGTTTATACATATTCCTATAGACACACTATATTCTATTACAAAACTATATTAATTGCTACAGTGATTTGAAACTGCTTAGTAAAAAAATAATAAAAGTAGACATTACCCAAAAAATAATAACATTATAGATATTATAAAAGGTGTTAAATATAATCTTTGTAAAAGTTTTTTAAAACAAATTCAATAGTTATCTTAAGTTTTTTAAGTTATTCAAATCAATAATACTATATAATTAAAGCATAAAGTTTTTTAACAATAAAAAATTGCTAATTTTTTTGTGTTAACTGTTTTTTGTAGTTAAATTCCAAAACATTAGCATTTTCTATATAAAATCAGGACGCCAGTTTTTTTAAAAGATTTAAAAGCTTGAGTTCTTTGTTATGATCAGCGTTTACACAATGAATATATTCATATTTTATTAAAATGGTTATACAATACTTAGATTTTTTTTCTGAGTATTAATATTGTTGTACTGAATGTTTTGCTAACTAATTGCTTTTTTATTTCAATAGTTTGCCAGTTTATTCCAATATATTTATTATAATTATTATTATTCCAACAATATAATTATTCCAATAGATTGGGGAAACAGTCTTTTAGATAACTATATTTCAATATGATATACTAAAAAAACCTTACATGTTGTGAAGACTACCTACAACTCTCCAGTGGAAATTTAATCAAAGTATTGTAATATTGTATTTATTATAATTGAAATAGATTGCAAATGTATGTTTGACAACTTGTTTGTTGTTTCCAGGATGAGTGACCTGACAATTTTTCTTTCTTTTTTTCATGTTCCTACTAAATAACTGCTCTTCTTCATAAACTTTAAGCAGCAACTTCAGATTTGTCTCTAAACAGCAACTTTAGATTTGTCTCTAAACAAATCAAATGAAAAAAAAAAGGAAAATATTTTTTTGCATTAAGCAAGGTACTTCCAACATTTTTTGATAAATGGATTATATTGAATAATAAGTTTTTAATACTCCATTATAAACATGATGATAGATAAACAATTTTTTATCTCCAGTATATTTCTATCTCCAGTATATGCTTTATAAAACTCTAAAAATGCATTACCATTGGTAACAATTATCGGTAACAAAAGCTCATACTTTATATCCAGATTAGTGTAATGAAGTAATACACTCATCAATTTTATTTTAACCATGGACCTGTTATATACACTTCAGGTGACGATCTCACAACATAAGGATTTTTGAAGCCCAACAATCATAAAAAAAACAACACCTTTATAAAGATTACTTTCTGAATCTTCACCAACATTTGCAAAAAGCATCCCTATACCACTTTGGTATAGGGATGCTTTTTGCAAATACATCTCATCCAAAAGAAGCATGCAATCATTTGAATTTTTTTGTAACAAAACTTTTATAGCCTTGAATGCATTTATATAACCAGCATTTTCTGTAAATTACCTTCTCATGATTAACTAACATATCTACCATTTTAATATTGGCTTTTTGCAAATACATCCACAAGAATCCATAAAAAGCAGGAAATCACTTGATACAATATCTCTTTGAATCGTTTTTCTAACATATTACAGGCTGCAGTATGTTAGAAATAAACTATAGTATAGTTTGTTAAGTCGCAATTTTCAGCACTGCAAAAAAAATTAAAGAAACATGATGCCTTTAAAGATTATGATAAAGTTTTATTAATTTTTATTTATTAACTATTAAGAACTTTATTAACAGTTATTGAATCAATTACAATTGTTATGTCTGACCATTCTTGGCCAACTCTAATTACATGATCTGATATGTTGCATTTTATTGGCTGCAGGTCTTGCAATGTTAATATTCTGAACAAAAACCTATTATATTTCTATTAATTGCAATTATAATACAAAAAGACTTTATTTTTACTGGAGAGTTGTAGGTAGTCTTAGCAACATGTAAGGTTATTTTTAGTAGCATGTTGGTATATAGCTATCTGAAAGTCTATATTATTGGAATAAACTGAACCAGAAAACTGTTCCCCATAAGATATGTATGTATATATATATATATATATATATATATATATATATATATATATATATATATATATATATATATATATATATATATATATATATATATATATATATATATATATATATATATATATATATATATACATCTGAAACTAGGCAGTACTTCAATTCATGTAGTTTGAGGTGGACAATTTAAATTTATTGTATTTGCCAGTAAACAATGTCTCACCCAAATGAAAACAGCATTATTTTGGTGTGAAGGTCAACTTTTCGAATTAGTTTTGGCAGTTGTTCTGTTACTAGCCAGTGTTACTTTCTGGTTGATTTATGTATACATTTTTGTTCCTGTTTTTTATCTCCAATAATGACATGGTCAGTTAATCATGTAATACAAAGAAAAGAGGTTCATGTATTGTCTGCTTTCTGACATAGCTGACAAGTATTTGGTTTGTGTGGTATCTAAACACTATGGTCAGAAATCCTTCTGATGTTGAGCAAGTGATATTTTATAATACTAAAAATGCAAGTTCACTTACCAAGCAGTGAATTGTTAATTTCAGATTGCTTTTGATTAGCCACTTTAAATGCTTCATATGGGTGATCTGGGTCAATAATGCAACATTAAGGTGTTGTTACAAATATATTTTTCATATGAAAACATGAAAAAACAATTACAAAGTTTATATAGAGAACAATATATGTTCAGATATGTGATAGGAACTTGAAAAAAAAGAAAATTAATTTAACTTACTGTTTTTTTACTTACTTTATTTTTTAAAAATTAACAACATAAAATTAATTTATTTTAAAATAAAGCAAGTTAGAGCAGCTATCTTTTTTGGATTTTTAAACACTGATATAAACTCTCTTTTAAAAAATAATTGGCTTTGTGAAGGAAGTTGAAGCTAAAAAGATCTAAATCTATAAAAATCAGAAAAAAGAACATTAAAATTGCTTTTTTTAAACACATTTTTGACATTCATATAAAGACATATTTAAATACTTTTATAAATTAAAAATAGAATAACTAGTGTCTTTGTATGTAGAAAAAAACAAAATGCTTTAAGGTAGAACATTAAATTTAAACAATGATAGAGTTTTGATGGAAAAACAAAAGCTTTATTCACTTTCAAACATATATTAACATTTGAATCTGTTAACTAAGTAATTTTTTGTTATTAGAATGATAAGAAACTGCAGAAAATAGTAGATAATAATATGATTAGTATTGCACTATTTTAAGTGTTTTTGGATCACTGTGCATCAGAATCAACAACATGTTGATGCAGGTAAAACACACAAACGATCTGTGTGGTTTACCTTTTTTTTTTTTTTGATCTGTTTGTGTGATTTACCTGAGCTTATTTTTTGTCATTAATTTGTGATTAGAGCCTGACGCCTGACATTGGATGTTATACTTTTACCAGAATTTTACTCAGCATGGCTACAATTGTGGAGGATTGTTAGAGATGGATCTAATTGTCAGAAGTTTCTAAGCACATTAGATGAGACAATAACTGACAACACTGGTGCATCAAAGATATTAATATACAGAGAAAAATTAGCACAGGTAAAAGCAAATCAGGTCAAAGTTAAGATCTTAAAACAATGATTCATTGAGAACAAAAAAATTATGTATCAAATATCAGTTAGCGAAAAAATGATAATTTTTTACCAAGATAAACTAAAATAATTTCTTTGCCCATTCAACTTCTTTTACAATGCTTTATTGTTTCATAGTACTTTCAACCTATTGTTCCATTATTTCATAATTCATTTAAACCTCTTTTCAATTGTATATTATTTCATAGTCCGTTTAACCTATTTATTAATGTTAGATTTATATAAGAAGTTAAATGGACATTATTTAAATGTCCAGTCCATATAACTTCTTATAAAAATTCAAAAAATAATAAAGATATGATGAGTTATCTGACATAAAAAGAAAACTATAATATGTTTTAAATCTATTTAAAATATTTGTGTAATTTTTTGAATTTAAAGAAAACTAATTTGACCTAAAAAACTCACAAATATTATTTTACCATCATTAAGAAACTAATTCTTTTCTATAGGGTCATTTTAAGCAATCTGTAATACCAATTACAACTAAGTTATGGCAGTGTTTATTAAAATTAGATATAAAAAAATTAGAAAAGTTCTTTTTAGAAGCAGTGTTAATTTTTGGTGTTCTATTAATGCTTTGGTTATCCTAAAAGAAAAGTAAATTCATCTTCAACCTACATCCTTATTTAAGAGCAATGTCATCCATTTGGAATCACCTATATTATTTTATGCAGGTTTGGCTTTTAGATAATAATTGTTTACTTTTATTAGTCAATATAAACTTCTAATATATGTAAATGAGTTAATGTTGTAAAAAAATAATCGAAAAAACAGTAGATTGAAAAAACTAATATTAAACTTTTATATATAAATATTATTATTAAATAAAACTATTTAACTTCAAACAAAAATAATATGCAAAATGTTACTTACTGATGTTACTCTGTCTGTCATTAAATCGATCAACTATTTGTTGTCGAATTTGAACTTGAGTTTTGCCATCCAAGCGCACATAAGTAAAATTAAATGCTATACAGAATCTTTCAAGTATATCTAAGGTCTAATTTGATTTTTAAAAAAAATCATACTTTAAACAGATATTTATTTTAAAAAAATATTTGCAATATCATTTTAAAAATCACCTTTGTTGAATTCGAAACAAGTACTATTTTCTCAGTAGATTTAATAACTTTATCCAAAAGTTGGTGAAGGACTGTAATTTTAGCTGAATTGTATGAAGCTTCCTTTACATCTTCGTTAGCAAATAGTTGCAACAAACTTTTGTCAGTCTAATTTAAAAAATTTAAAAGAATTTTCTTTTTTTTTTTTCCTAGATCAGACGAAAAAGACAGGAAAAGCTGTTCCTGGCATTGCTTCCATTGTGATTTCAATAATTTTACTTCAGCAACACAGGGCAATAACAGAAATTAAAAAAAAGGGGGGACCGTTTCATCAATATACATTTTGTTAGAAATAAAGCCACTGCAGAATCTAAGAAATTAAAAGCAAAAGAAAAAGATACCATATCGTGATCTGAGAGTTCATTTACATTGTGCTTTTCTTTTTCTTTTAAGCTATTATAAACAAGAATTGGATCATTGCACAACTTCTTTAGCATCCCAATATAGTATAAATGAGTACAACCATTATATGATGTTGAAAAACATGATTGGACAAAGCGAGATCTTATAATATGGTTATAAATTTTCATTTGCAACTCACTCATTTCGATAAACAAGACATACTCAACTAAAAAAAAATTTAAATAATATTATTAGAAATGTTTCATAAAAAAAATTTTAATTATTTAATTTTAATAAAAGTTTATTAAAAAACAAAATAATAATAAGTATTGCATAAATATATTGAACTATATAACCCTTGGGACAAAATTTTAATGCATACCTTTAGCTGGTAAATACATATTGTTTATATCTGCTGTTCTACGAAGGCAGAAAGATTGAGTTAATTCGCTTAGCTACCATAAAAAAAATATTTTAACTGACATAAAACATTCAACTAAGCAACAAATTTAATTTACAACCATTTCATTACAAACTGTTGCATACCATTATCTATACAAAAAATGTATACAATAATCTTTATTAACTTTATCTATTACTTATATCAATTATACAATTGAAACAGCTCAAAAGCCTAATAGCTTTAATTAATAGATCTTATCTAAGCATAATTTAAATTATAATCAATACATTTGTCTTTATAAAATAGTTTTCACAATTTAGTTTTTAGTACAATAACCATTAATACCTCAATGGCTCTACTCTCCCCAAGCTCTTTTTCTTCAACTGAGCAATCAGGTTGCTGACTTCTTGTAATAGGATCAACAAAAACATTTTTAAATTTGTTCTGAGAACCTTTAATTAAAAATGCATAAAGTTAAAATAAAACCTACGTGAATATTTTAATAATTAAACTTATATTATGTTAAACAAGTATAAATAACAAAGCAATATGACAAAATGAAATAAAATGTTCTTTGTTCTTTTTAACAATGTTACTTTTCCTATTATTGTTATACTTTATTACATTCACATTATTATTATTGTCTTATTCTTCAATGTTATTTCTTTGCTAATAATATTTCATCAACTTTTATTTCTTCTTAAAAAACTTTGAGAAAAAAAGAAACACAAATAAAAATTATAAAATAATTCTCTAACAATTAGTACTAATATATTTCTTTTATTACTAAAAATGTATAAAAAAATAGTAATAATTAGTAATAATTTAGTTAAAATAAAGAGTAGTAATAATTTTTTTAAAATTGATGTTTTAATTATATATACATATATTAGCAATGAGATTTAAAGTATAAAAGAAGTATATGCTAATAAAAAAAAAGTGTTGAAAAGTAAGTCTATATATTGGTAGCAGAATTAACAGTACTTTGTGACAAAAATATTTTAAAAACTTTTAAAGTCAACTTGCAAGCAAAATTGATCATTGAACTACAATTTAAATGCTATGGCATCATCATAAAACAAAGATATATCTTTCTTTAACAATAAATTGAGTGCAAACGACATAAAAGAACTATTTTACAAGATAAAACAACTGCTAAGCGAAAAAAACACCAATTTCATAAATGCAAATGTGATACCAGCATTTAAGTAGACAAATATGTTGCAAATAATGAATAATTAAGTTTCTGATTTTTTTTTAAAGAACTTGATATCAATAAAGACTATAATTATCAAGATAAAATATTTTTATATTTATCTCAAATTCATATTTATAATAACTAATATTTATCTCAGTTTCAACATCATTCAGAATTTAATTAATCATTCAGAATTTAATTAATAACCAGAAGTAGAAGTTTATTAATTCTGTTCTGCTGAGATTTTCATTGAACATAAGGTACTATATTACTCTGCGCACAAGAGCCAACATTCTCATAAGGTGCTATATTTCTCTACGCACGAGAGCCAATGTTCTCATTGGCTCTCATGCGCAGAGTACTCTCACTTCTTGCCATTAGTTAAATATAAAGTGACGTCCTTTATGGATGACCCTTATACAAAATATTGTATTAATGTATCTGAAGTTAATAAAATTTGATAATATATTGATTTGATGCATATATGAATTAGCAAGTAGCACTTTGGATACTAATGCTTTATTAAGAAAATCATTAACAATTGCAAAGCAATGCTTAAGTTAAGATAGCTTAAGTATGTTAGTTGGTAATGATTATAATTATAGTCATATCAGATATGGAGAAAATTGTAAAAAATGTAAAAGAATGTAAAGGGTTCTTTGTTCAAAAAGTAAAAATACTGAATACTTAATGTGCATAAAAAAAAGATGTGCTTCAGACTCGAAAAAAGGTTGAAAAACAATACAGGATAGAAATTATAGGAAACGGATTTGTAGTATTTTAAATAACTTAATTTAAAATACTCAAAATAAGTCGTGGAACCATCAGATATACTGTATGTATTGTAATGTATTTTGAAAATCAAACCAAAACACAATGCCAGAAAACCTCTATTTTATTCATAAGCAAAAGAAGACTCAATCCAATATATCCAATAATAAGACCATTAGCTCTGATGGCACCCGCCCACAATAATCTATAATCATTCACCCATTACTGGTAACAAGTTTCAATTTTTTCATTTCCTGGTAAAGTAATAAAAGCAATTATTTGGAAGATTAAAATGAATCATTATGAAGTTACAGGTGTTTTGTGTTTAAAAAAGCATGGTGACTAGTTTATTAAATACCTTGACATTAACTCGTTATTACTCGTTACTCATTGACTCGTTACATCAAGGGTATTGATGCTACCTTTACCAACTTTGAAAAAGCATTCAACAGATTGCCTCAATAACTGTTGCATAAGCATTATGGTTCTTGTATGGGATTAAAACATGACTAACTTTAGACAGGATTAAGTCAAAATATGTCCAATCACAGTTGTAAAGTACAACACGACCTATATGTTATTATGAAGACAAATAGTACAGTCTAATATTTTATATTTGCATTTCATAGCTTTTAGTTTGAAAGGTTTTTAGTAATATTATTATCTTCTAAAAATAAATAATATTGTTTATATTAATTATGTACATGAACATCTTTTGTTTTTGTACAGAAAAGCTGATACAAATCTTCAAGAACCTTAAAAAACAAAACTATATATACAGGCTTAAATTTTTTTCAAAAAGTAACTTGTTTAGAACAAATGTGTAATTTAAAATAAACATGGAAGTTAAAAAAAAAAAAAAAAACCTAAAATTCCTGGGTTGGCTAACTCTGCCAATGCATAAAACTCTTCAAGATTATTTTGAATCGGAGTTCCTGTTAAAAGTATTTTTCTCTTGATTGAAAGACTTGCAATTAAAGAAGCTGTTTTAATATTTAAGTTTTTTAAGCGATGAGCTTCATCGCATATAATTAAGTCAAATTTTACTTTTCTGATATCTTCTATGCAGCGCAAAAACATCTCATAGCTGATTATCATGATAGGAAGGTTTGTACAAAGTAGAAATTCCTAAACAATATTGACAATATAATTACTTACATAAAAATACTTTTGCATAAACTAAAACAAATCTTATATATTATAAAAATAAACTTTTGATATAGATTCAAAACAGAACAAATAGGGTATAGACAAGGGTTTGTTCAACAAAATAGAAGACTTGCGAAAATTTTCCATCATTATCTACTGTATTTTAAAATACTATTACAGAATTCACATATGCAAAAATTCACCTTAATTAAGGGTTATACAAAAAATAAAAAAATTCAAATTCCCTAATAACCACTTACAAAATGAAACTTGCGAAATGATTCATTTCGAAAGAATACTTTTGCAAAAGTCCCTTACAAAAAGAGCATTTTGAGAAAGTATTTATTGATCATTGATTAAAGCCATTAATAATAGATAAAGCAAAGAAAAAAAAAATTTCAATAAAAATTTAAAAATTTTATATTTAAATAAACTTTAAACAAATTAATCAAAATATATATATTTTTTCTGATCGTTAGCTTTCTTTGCTTTACATAAAAACATTTATTAATGATCAGTAAATTCTTTCTCAAAACTTTTTAAAATGACAATGCCAGTTTTTCCACTGAGGTCTAAATTTGTGGTATTTACTGTGACCAATATACATTGGTCACAATAAATACCGCAATTTGAAAATAAATTAAAAACTCCATTCCGTATTTTAAAAATAAACATTTTTTAGAAGTAGAAAAATATCGGGGTAAGACTTTGCTCAGCAAATAATCGGACCCTATGTCTTTTAGGTCCTTATAAATTAAAAATAAACAGCAGAACTTAAAAGTTTTTTTTAAAAATGGCACGTACCACATTTTGAAAATAAACTTTTCATATATATATATATATATATATATATATATATATATATATATATATATATATATATATATATATATATATATATATATATATATATATATATATATATATATATTAAATATAAAATAAAATAAATATTATAGACTATGGTTAGTAAGTGACCAGAAACCCGGCTAAAAATGAGACTTTATAAAAATTTATAGCATGAAGGGATAAATACGTTGTTGTAACTTGTTGAATAAATAGCCAAGCGAGAATGCGTTTTGGTTTATCGTTATAGAGATGATAGCTTGTTTGAGCATTGACTATGATTGTATTTGTAGAAAAAAGAAAGAAATGCAACCTTATAACAATGGGAGAGTGGCTCAAGATTGGCAGATAAAGTAGGTCTAACTACATTTACAATGTGCTTTTAGACTTTGTCTGAGAGTAAGAGGGTTGTTATTTTTCAATATAGGAATGCCAGCAATATTGCAATATTTTTTTGCAGTAAATAAATAAGTTTTGTTGTCTAACAAAAACTGTGGATTTTAAGTCCAGAATTTAAATCCATAAGCCAGTGCAAGCCTTAGGCTGTTACAGAAGAGAGATCAGATTTAAAATTGGCCGCTTTTTCTAAGCAAATAAAAAGTGAAGATTTTTTGTCAAGACAAGAGTATAAAGTTGAGTTGTCAGCAAATAGAGCCACTTTAGATTTTATAAAGAACGTTATTGTAGATAAGAAATAATACAGCAGCAAATATAGAACCTTGAGGTACCTGAAAAGTTACTTGAAATAAAGAAGAGGGTAAGTCTTTAAGAATAACTTTACTACTGCAGTTAGAAAGAAATAATTTAATAACCTCAAAACCTTTACATAGAAAATTATAAGAAACAGATTGAAGAGTAATCATAGGATACTATGGAGAGGTCAAAGTGTTTTCTAGAGTTTTGAAGAATTGGAACCACTTATTTAGCACTTTTTCAATGTTTCTGGAGAAAATTTTTAAAAGGAAATAAGTGGTTCTGGAGAACACTTTTTTAAGACTATGATGGAAGTCTTGTCTGAAGCACAAACTGTAGAAGTGTTTAATTGAGAATTAATTTCAGTATTGGAAGCCAGAGTGATTTCAATGTTTAACAATGGGTTAATCTGTTTAACTGTCAGGAGGAGTATGGCTGATATATTTGAGAGTCAAACTAAAGAAAGATTTCTTTGTAAATAGCTCTGCTTTATTCTGGGGAAAAGTAAAAAGATCAGACCCATGAATTAGAGATTAAACGTTAGACTTACTTTAGTTAATGACACTGTTGAAAACTAACCAAAAGTCTCTAGAACCTAACATCTGAGATAAGATACAAGATTTAGTAAACTAAGAATAACAGATAAATAGTAACATGTAGATTTAGTAAACTGAGAATAACAGCAATATAAGCTTCCAAGATGCACTTTTTGCACATATATTATGGATATAAATATATCTGTTTGCTATTTGTTTAGATGCTGGCATACAATATCTTTTTATTGTTATTTAAACTTTAGTATTTATGTGGTGTAGTATTTTCCGAAAGAGAAAATGATCAGATGGATGTGTGGTGTGACTCTAGCAAGACATAAAAAGGGGACATAATCTTAGACAGATTAGAAAAAATGTTATATCAAACAACGTTTTTTAGAAAGGGTTAAAGTAAATTAGGTATCAAAATGTAGAGTGGTAGCAGCTTCAGTAGAAAATGGTTGTGGTAGAGGTAAGAAGAGTGTGCCTTACATATTGTATAAATGAGCTTTAGTTAGGAATAAAAGTGCACTAGATTGTTTATATTAGAGAAACAGCTTAAAAGATGAAGGCTAAAGCCTTATGATGATGATGATGATGATGATGATGATGATGATGATGATGATGATGATGATGATGATGATGATGATGATGATGATGATGATGACAAGAGGAATGTGTAGAGTTTCTATAAAAAGTGTATAGAAACGCGACAAATTTGTATAGAAACTCACCATGGTATAGAAAGACTACATAAATGTATAGAAATCCGACACAATGTGTATAGAAACGCTACATCGTAAGGTAGAGTTTCTATAAAGTGGTTTTTCGATTAAATTGCCGTAAGCCGTTTATTTTGATTTAATTCAGCCATCTTAAAATATTTTCCGCGGATGTTAGATAATAAGGGAAGTGTTAAGGATAGTGTTGCAAATGTATTGATTTAATAGAATTATATTAAAACTTAGAGTTCTATTCAAACTTATTATATATAATATTATTTGTTAATAATTTGAATATATTTAATACATATATGTTAATTATATGCATTATATATATATATATATATATATATATATATATATATATATATATATATATATATATATATATATATATATATATATATATATATATATATATATATATATATATATATATATATATATATATATATATATATATGTATATGTATATGTATGTATGTATGTATGTATGTATGTATGTATGTATGTATGTATGTATGTATGTATGTATGTATGAATGTATGTATGTATGTATATATATATAATATATATATATATATATATATGTTTATATATACATATATATATATATATATATATATATATATATATATATATATATATATATATATATATATATATATATATATATACATATATATATATATACATACATATATATATAAATATATATATATATATATACATATATATATATACATACATATATATATATAAATATATATATATATATATATATATATTTATATATATATATATATATACATATATATATATAAATATATATATATATATATATATATATATATATATATATATATATATATATATATATACATACATACATATATATATATATATATATATATATATATATATATATATATATATATATATAT